TTAAACATAAGCTTCTAAATATTCAAATGCCATTCTAAACCATTTCAGTTTCATTTTTGACAGCATCTCAATTTTTCATCTCAATGTTTTGACTAAAACGATTCAGAAATAAATCCATCACCAAAAGATGCTCCAGGCATCCAAGCTGACCACAGGAGCTGTGTGAGGTTTGCAGTGCCCATCCCTGGAGGGGTCCAGGGAGGAGCTGGGGGTGGCACTGAGTGCTCTGGGCTGGGGACAGGGTGGGCGCAGGCTGGACTCGATGGGCTGGAGGACCCTGTGGTCAGTGTGTCAGACACTGCCCTGAGCTGCAGCAGGGAGGGGCTCGGGGAGCCTCGGGCTCTGATGTGCAGCAGCCATTCCCTTGTTAAACAGCAGAGCAGAGGCAGAGGAGCAGCAGGTTTGGCCTCCATGGCAACAGCAGCAGCTCCAGGCTGTGCTCAGCTCTCAGCCTGCCTGGGGAAGGGCTCCTGAGCACGGCTTTGCTTCCAGAATCTCCTTGGCTGCAAGGGAAGAGAGTCGTGTTTGCCCAGCCCAGCTGGCAGAGGGAACACTCCGGGACCCTGCTGGAGAACCCCAGGGAGAGCTCTGGCCCTGGTGTGACAGGACAGGGCAAACCTGCAGCACTGAAAGTCTCTGTTCAGCTCAAAACTCATTTATTTCACTCCCATTCCCTGCTGTTTATTTCCCGCTCTGTGGGAAGGTTCCCAGCCCTTGGCGTGGGCTGGCAGTGCCCAAGGCCAGGTTGGACACTGGGCCTGGAGCAGCCTGGGACAGTGGAGGTGTCCCTGCATGGCAGGGCTGCAGTGAGAGGAGCTCTAAGTTCCTTTCAACCCAAACCAAGCTGGGATTTTAGGGATTTAACAAACGCAGCAGTCAGACTGCTGAAGGAAATGGCTGAGCTGAGATGGAGAGGTTCCAGCCTTTCCTGGCTCTGTGAGCCCCTCCCAGAGGTGCCCTGCTCTGTAATTAGGGGCACTCTGGGTTCTGTCCTGGGGGTCTGGGCTGCTGCCCCCCTTCCTTTGAAGCCAGAACAGTGCAGGAGCTGCTGCAGGAGCACAGCCGAGCTCTCCTGGGGCTTTGGAGGCTCTTTGAAATTGGGATTCTCTAGTGCTTCAGGCTAATATTGATTTTTTCTGGTTTTATTACTTTTTTATTCAAGCATTCACCTCATGTCTCCTGCATGGCATGAAAATTTCATTCTTCTGCTTTCTTACTCATTCACTCACTGAATCCATTCTAAAACTCTCAACTGCACCCCGTATTTCTCTTTTTAAAGATGCTGTTCATTGGCTCACACCTGAAAACTCAAACCTGATGGTCTCTAATATTTTAGTGGTTTGAGCAGATTTATGTCTGCAGAGATGTCAGAGTTCTGTATGTATCTCTTCTATATGTGTGTGCTTTGTATCTCTTGTGCACCAGCTTTTGGCTGCTGCTGGAGCACCTGTATCTCAAAACCTGATGATCAGAAGCTTTGTAACCTTGAGGAGTTTGTTAAACCCGTGGAAATTTGCAGGATGTGTTTGGGTGCCAGCCCAGGAAGGAAAACAAGACAGTCCTTTTATGTAAATGGAGTCTGCGTTTGTGCTTCTAATTAAAAAATCGAAGGGAAAAGCTTTCTGTAATTAAAGGACGTGTTTGCTAATTTGTCACAGGCTGGATTCTGGAGCACTTCTGGTTGGATCATTCTGGAATTAACTTCAGCTTTCCCTCTCCATAGGAACAGGATTGTCCTGGTCAGAACTGCCACGGGCAGGGGCTCCTCAGGCAGGGGCTCCATTCCCATTTCCCATTCCCATTCCCCATTCCCAATTCCCATTCCCCATTCCCCATTCCCATTCCCATTCCCATTTCCCATTCCCATTCCCATTCCCATTCCCATTCCCATTCCCATTTCCCATTTCCCATTCCCCATTCCCATTCCCATTC